TCCACTCAAAGCATCACTCTGCTCTCCTCCCCACTGAGAGCTGGTGTGTGGGGAGAGTACTGATGCACTATGGCTGCTGTTGCATCACCCAGGTGGTGGAGGGTACTCTCCATTACCTGGAAAGCCCTTTGAGTGGAGTGTCCAGAAAAGAGCCGTATAAATGTAAGAAATTGATTTATTTCAATACTGAAGTGACAGTGACAGACAGAGACAGCACGATGAATGCACAGACACAGAGCATCAGCTCAATCCTTCACTACGTGTTTGTAGAGCCCCTCATGTGCTGAGTGAAAAAGGGGTGCCGGTACCTGGTGGTATTCAGACAGGATGCTGTGCACGTTGGCCACATCCTCGCTGGAGATCTGCTTGATGACGAGGGTGCGGTCGTACGAGGTGAGGAACAGCCCCTCCTCCCCCTCCCCGCTGGCGGGGGGGCTGCGCGCCAGCGACACCTGAAAGTGAGGGTGGGTAGAGACACCGTGAGGCAGGGAAGGGCCACAGGGGGTCCCCAGGCTGGGAGCAGTGCTGGGCTGTGCCCTCCATGTGACGGGTCATTGAAGGGATCAGTCCTATTGCAGCCCCGCCCATGCCGAGCCCATCACACCCTCCAGAACAAGTGTACCCAGTTATCTGGCCAAAATAATCCCGGTTTTGACAGAGCAACACTGGCACTGGCCCGGGAAATTCCAGTCCCCACAGGAGCGGGAGAGATGTCTCGGATAAAGAGGGATGTGGCAGAGGAGGCTATCCATGTCACTGGAGATCAGAACGCCAGCAGTGAGGACTGGCCAGATCTCTCCAGAAGCAAGCCGGCCCTGCACCTGGTAATCCTGGTCCTCGATCCCAAAGCGCTCTCGGAGGTTCCGGAAAACCTGCGGGCAGTACTCCTTGAACTTGAAGTGACCGGGCAGATTTTCCCTGCAAAGAAGAAAAGGAATGATTTATTTAGAAAAATACACCGAGCTGCCCATCTCCAATCCAGTGGGGCTGGAGCTATCTCACTGCCTCGCTACACCACCTCAGCCTCAGGAGCTCAGCCTGCTTTTATCCGAGAACTCCGCTGCCCCTCATAATGAGCCTCACAGGGGGGTCTGTCTGCAGAGTTTCCTGCAGGAACCCGTGTGCTCAGGCTTAAGGAAACGACATTGCTGCTTAGGTCCTTCCGAAGAGGACCGGGTGAGACACTGGGACGGTTGAGCCGAACGGAGTGCCTCTTGCTCAGAACCTTCATCCCGATTCTCCCCAGCCGTGCTCCAGCAGAGCAGGTCCCAGCCAGGAGCGCCCCACTGCTGCACGGAAAGTTCCTGCGAATTCACACTCCCTCTGCACAGCCGTTCAGTCCAGAACTCCCTGCCAGCCCCAGATTCCTGCAGGGATTAACGGATTGTGCAAATCCATTCCAGGCATTGTGGAACTCAGCCACCAGCTCCTACCAACAGACAGACTGGAGCCCCCATCGCCCAGGCCTCCCTCCTAGAGCAGGGCCGTGACCGGCTGCGCACACAACCCGTCTACCGCCAGGCAGAACAAAGGCAGATTCCTTGCCCTGTGCCTGCTTCAGAGACCGAGACCCACAGGAACAATCTGATTCTCCGCAGCAGCAGAACCTCCCGGTTCTGGAGGAACCCATCCCTTTGGGGTTTCATATGATGTGGGCTACTGGGTATGTAGATGAACGAGTCGGCCCATTTACACCTCGAGCAATTATTCTCAGCTGCCGAACAGGTGGCGATCTATCTTCTCTGTTAGATGCCTCAAGAAGACCAGGTCTATTCCCAAGGACCCCAGTCACCCCCACCAAAATCTGTTTACCCTACTACCTCTGGAAAACACCACCAAAGCACACAGACAAAGACCAACACATTTCAAAACGGCTTTTCCCCCCCCCAGGCAATGAGACTACTAAAGAGCCAACCACAGCAGCCACCAGCAAGTGGTGATAAATAAACCACTGATAAATAGTCAGTCCAGTGAAACTGATAAGGTGCTCCTGCATCTTCCTGATACTTCGCATTCTCAGGATATAAATGACAGTGCTGAATACCTCCTAGCCCCACCACATGTCCTTGTGTTATTTATTGCGTGAATGTTGTAAATTGTCATTAATTGTACTCTACTCTGTAACCTTAATTCAATCCACGTCTGTCCTTGGCGAGCTTGCAGGAAAAGCATTTCATTGCTGACAAACACCGACCGGCGTGTGCTGTATTGTTGTGCATTGATAAATCAACCTTGATAGATTGATAGAGCGGGACAGTGGTCAGTTAAGCGACGACAACCGGTCCCACACAGCTGCAGGAGCCGAGCCAGGGCCCGGCGCGCCCACCTGTTGAACAGGTGGTTGTTCACTCTGATCTTGGTGTTGGCCTTGAAGTCATCGGGCAGCAGCATCACAGGCACTGGCACCTGGCTGAGGTCATTGATCTGCGGACACAAGAAGGCGCAGCGCTGACACCGCGTGCAGAGCCAGAACAATACAGGACCCAAGGGCACACCAGAAACTGGGGGGTCTCGGCGGCAGAAATACTAGCAACACTCCCCCCCCCCATCTCATCTGCAGGGCCTCTGTAAGCAACACGCGGGACACAGCTCTGAGCCAGTCCCACTCATTCTGCCTAATTACATCCCGAATTCAAGAGCGTCCAATTCCGGTTGCCGGTTCATCCCGCTGCCGGCAGAGGAATCCCACTCCGTTGGGCCCCTGAGCAAGGCCCTTAACCCCGACTGCTCCAGGGGCGCTATACATTGGCTGACCCTGCGCTCTGACCCCCAGCTTCTCTCCCTGTCTGTGTGTCTCGTGGAGAGAAAGCTGGGGTATGTGAAAAAGAAATTCCTAATGCAAGAAATTGTATATGGCCAATAAAAGTGATCTTATCTAATTCCAGTCCAGAGAGTTGGTGTGTGCAGGTTCTAACTCCAACCCGGCAATTAAAGAGCTTAATCAATGCAGCAGCTTCTCCCAGCTCTTCGTGTGCGACTGCTTTAGACAGAGCCAGAAGCGCTGCTGACCAGGACTGGACAACCCTGCAGCGCTGGAGCCGTGAGCCGACAGCCGGCTCTCCGGCTTGACGCCGTCCAGGAGCGAGCGCAGTGACAGCCGGCCTGCGCTCTGTCAGCCCTCCTTACTTTAAACATCTCTGACAAGCGTGTACATTACACAATATAACATGTCCCATTGAGAGCATGTTGGAGTTTGACACGTTTCCACTACGAAGATTGTATAGCCGTTTTATTTTGGTCTTAAACGCGGAGGAGGAGGAGGAAAATGTTTCATTTCAGCAAGGAGACAGACTAACGACAGCCCTCCACGCCTTCGACTGACCGCCCCGCTGTGAACTCGTCACATCACCGGGTAGCTAAACCTCACCGAGGGGCCCCCGCTGCCGGTCCTGAAGGGGCGGTGTTTCATTCCAACTCCGCCGTTAACAACCTGGAACAGCGGGTTACAGCTACCTGAAGTTGAGTGCTATAAGTTACCGCCTTAGCTTCACAAATGTAGCTTTTTTAAAAAAAAATTCCGGGTGTTTTCTGCTTTAAAGAGATCCGGAAAAGCCGCCCCTCAGCGCCTCCGTTTCCCCGTTTCCCCGGCGATGAGCACAGACCCGGCGCACCGAAGCGCGACTCGCAACCCGACACAAGTTTTCAAGCGGTATCTACGCGCATCGGACTAACTTCACTCGGGATAGTTACAGCCTCTCGCGGGCCGTGCCGCTGTTCTGAAATACATCCCCGTTCCTGTCTGCAGTTACTCGTTTTCTCGGTCTCGGCAAGCCCAGGCTGTCAGTGATCACGGAAGCGGCAGCGCTCCGCCGGAGATACCCCTCCACCCACCCCCTGGGGCAACGGTTCCCGGTGCGCGGTAGGTACCGAGTGATTAACTCCCCACATGAACACGCTGAGGACGGGATCGCTGGCCCGGAAGACCTTCAGCTTCTGCTGGACGAAGTGCTTCTTCTTCGTCTTCGTCTTGGGGATCACCATCGGGGCGGAGGTGGCACTGGAGTTACCGGCCGACGCCATGAGAGCCTCCGCGTCTGGGGGTGAGCAGGCGGAGGCGAGGGGCGGGGGGAGAGGGGCAGCGAACTCGCTCTCTCTCCCGAGGGCTTGAAATATGCGCACTCCGCCAATCCGCCCTCCCTCGCTGTGTGCGTTTCTCTCTCTCCTTCCCCGTGTTCTGCTCGCTCTGAACCGAGCAGAAACGTCTCTGTCCTCTGTCCCCTGTCCCCTGTCCCCTTTCTTCCCTCACATTCGCTTCGTCCCCTCCTGCGCACAAAAAAAAAATGTCCACTGAGCAGCGAAAAAGCCCGATGACAACTGAGCAGAGAAACTCCACTCACCTGGTCCCCACCCCCCCCCTCACGTGACTGCGAAGACCAGCCAGGTGAGCCGCACACAGGTGAAAGACCCGCGTCATGTGACCGGACCCTCACTCCCCCTTCACGTGGTTCAGTACCTACCAGCCCGCCCGCTGGCTGTCGTGCTCGGAGATTTCGGGGAAGCGCGGGTGGTCTGTCAACCCTACTGCCCACATTGCTCCAGTCCGGTTCATTCCAAGTTTTTCTCGACCAATTATTTTGTAACATATTGCCCTATATGGCAGTGGAGACTGGGGCCCAATCACAAAGCAGAGCTACAGCCCAGTACGCGATCTTCTGTCACGGCCTGAGAAACGGAGAGCGAGCCCCCTCCCAAGTTAATGACGGGATATTATTGCTGGAGATGTTTGTCAGAGCTCTTTGTGCCCGAGAGAGGATTGGAGAGGGAGAAGCGTTTACTTATTTCATGAGCCCCGTCACAACAGTAGGAAACCGAAGCAGCTGACAGATTCGGCGAGGCTCCGAGGAGGGGGAGGAGGAGGAGGACGCCACGAGCGGCCTGACACGCCTCTCGTGTGCGGGGCCACAAGCCCGTGTTTGTTCCCCGCCACAGTCACGTGAGGGAGACGTGGTGCCTGAGCCTCGGACGCCACCCGGGGCCACGGCGGCCAGCAAGAGCCCAGGCAGGGCTCCGTGCGTTCCGGGCCGGGCCGGCGGCTCGGGGAGAAGTTCACCGCTTCGGGCGATGAAAGTGGATCAGCTGCAGAGCCGGGCGCGCCTCTATCCGCTCTGCAGCAAGGTGTTGGGGACTGTTGCTCTCTCAGACTTATCGAGCTGATAAGGAAACGAGAGGTCTTCGAGAAAGTTCAGAGACATTCCGCCCCCGGCCTCTACCTTAACTATTCCTCTCCTAATAATCCCCATCTCTGAACTGGCTTCATCACTCTGCTCTCCCCGCTAGTAGCTGGTGTGTGGTGAGAGTATTGGCCCTCTCAGGCTGCCGTCTCATCATCCAGGTGGTGGAGGGGAGTCCCTTGTACCTGTACCTACTACTCAACGCTATCAACCATTCCTGAGCACAGTGGTCAGTGTCCCGCTGTCACAGAACTGTAATTACTCAACACTCCCAGCCAGTGCCTGAACACAGTAGTCAGAGTCCCACAGTCACAGAGCTGTAATTAAGTACTGTAACTATGAACTAGCTTCATAATTCTGTTAGCTGATAGCTACTGTGTGGTGAGAGTACTGGCACACTATGGCTGCCGTCGCATCATCCAGTGTAAGAAAATATTATTATTATTATTATTATTATTATTATTATTATTATTATTATTTAGACTATGTGTGTCTACTGGAGACGGGGCACATCACAGCTACGACCCAGTAACACATGAAATAAAAACTGAAATTGTTCTTTAAAAACTGAGATTTCACATTTGTTATGCGTTTCGAAAGGTCTCAGTCGCTTCTCATTCTGAAGTCTCCCCGGTTAATTCAGGAACTGAAAAGTGACAGAAATACACTTAAAAAACAACACCGCTTCAACTACGAAAAGTTTAAACTTAATTTATTAACATATTGCATGGAAAACCAGAGCATTTCAAAGGAAAAAAAAATCTTACACGTCCACTGCAATTTCAATATCGAAGACAAACGTATAAATTAAACACTATGACATGTACAGCAGTAACACAGCTCTGAAAGTTGGCGGCTCGGAGGACGTCTCCGTTAAGGTGCGCGCACAGCGTCCGCTTCAGAAGACCAGAAACGTTCACTGATGTTCTTAAATAATCATTTCGAACGGAAGAGGGAGAAAAAAACCCCATCGTAAATGCATTACAAAAACATATACATTTATTAAATACAACAGACGCAGATAACGTACAAAATTAAGTTTATAAAAATATGTATATCGCCTGGCAGAGAACGACAGCCTTTCCAGAAAGGTGCTTTGCACGATTCAGAGAGCGGAGCTGCGGGTCCGGTGAGACAGTGCGTTGGGGAGCGGGCGGGCGAGTTTGACTTGAAACGACAGACTCTCAGGACGCGTGTGAAGTGTAACATGTTGTTAGGAGAGCGAAATACAGTTGGGCTGATAGAAAACTATACATTGCATGTACGTGTTTGCGTTCGAGGAAACCTTACATATAACTCCAGAATAAATTAAATATAATCATTTGGTTTATTATTCATTCCGTGGTATAAAATGCTCAGTGTTTTCTTGCGGAGGAGAGGAGGCGGTAGGAGAGGCGGGGTTCAAACTGTAATCAGTCCTGCAGAGGGCCTGGGATGGGCTGTCCGATTTCTGTGTGTTTAACAAAACCTCCCAAGACCCGTCTTATTCTTCCAAGGCAACACGGCAGTGTGTGGATTCTTTCAGGATTAGATCTGTTATGGGAATGTATGTTTGTATAACTACAGATACTGGAGGTACCTGTGTCACGAAGGCTCCCGTTTCTTCATAACTATAATTTACACGAAGTTTCCAGGGGGGAAGTGCTCTTATACCGTGATCGCAATCATTGAAAAGGCAACGGTATATTTATATTTTTTTTGTTGAAGTTGTCAATTGATCACTTTCAGTTTATCCGAACAGGGCAGTTACTTTTGAGTTAAAATGGCCACTTTTTGTCAGATAAAGCGTTTCGGAAAACGCGTTCTCAGCAGCGCAATATAAACGGCACCACCAGAGGGCGGTGCGGCGCTACAGCTGGGTCAGTCTCCCAGTCCTGCTCCGGGTCTCCCCGTGCCGAACGCTTTTATTCCACACCAGCTCTTGATTCATTTCATGTAACGAATCAATAACTGAACCTGCTCTGTGGAGGCTTGTTCGCACTTCCTTATCAGTTTCAGACTTAATCTTCTTAACTGATGTGACTTTCCAAGAAGTGTAATAGGTGGAACTCTCTTGCAACTGCTTGTAAAATCGCTGTTAAAATAACGAAAGTGGTTTTCAGCCGAGAGTGTTGGAAGACAGGCAGGGGTGTCACTGCCTGACACTCCCACTGAAAACATTCCTGCTGCTGTACAGGTGAGATGTCCCCCCGTTTCCTAACTGCTTCTTCCAATTTAGGATCGGGGGTGGGTGGGAGGGTGCCTGGTCCTACCTCTGCGAGCAACAGGCACAGGGCGGGCTACACCGTGGACAGGACACCAGTCTACCGCAGGGCGCACTCACACACACACACTCTTTCACCAGGGCCAATTTACCCCAGGAGCCAATTAACCCACCGGCATGTCTTTGGACAGTGGGAGGAAACCCACAGGAACATGGGGACACCATGCAAACTCCACACAGACAGCACCCAGCGCTGTGAGGCAGCCATGCTGACTACTGTGCCACCATGCCACCCCTGTGACTGAAAGAACAAAGCCTAAACGACGTCAATTCTACGGCGGCCTTCTGCTCTCAAACACCTCTCAGTAGTCAACACTTGAAACCGATTCTTGAACAGGACGCAGCCAATCGAGAGGTTTAACAAGCCGAATTCGTCAGGACCGGGACCGGCGCTGGGAGGAGCGTTCAGGCTGCGGGTTCGAGTCCACGGGCGGCTGGGCGGGCGAGGTGCGCTGTGAGTCTGGGCTCGGCTTTTCGCCGGACAGTCCTTCTTCCATGAAGCGGCGGCGGCTCGTTCCCGAGCCGGGAATCCCAGGAGCCCCCGGGGCCACAGCGGACGTGGGTCGGCTGGGACCTCCGGCACCGCCGCTGGAGAAAGCCGCTCACCTGTCCCGCGCTCCGCGTGATACCAGCTCACAGACACCGGCCCGGTGCGCGGAGCTCGGGGGGGGTCGTCCCGGTCCGGCCCGGCCGCGCTCTCCGCAGGGCGGGTGAGGGTTCGGCCGCCTGTCCTCCTCCTCCTCTTCCTCCTCCTCCTCCTCCTCGCGCGCTGTGCTGGAGGGCGCCCCTCACTCCCCGTCGCACTGCAGGCTGGCGTCGCCCCGGTCGGGAGAGGTCAGCGGCTGGCCCAGCTCGTCCACGCACCAGCACTCCCCGCGCCGCGTGCCCTTGGACGAGCGGCACTGAGGGCGGGCAGAGAGGCGGGGCAGGGTTACTCGCTCGGCCGGACACACAGGCCCTGGGCTGTGGTCACTCGCCACACTGCGGTCAAGCACAGCGCAGTGCAGCCCAGTAAGACTCAGTATAGTGTAGTAAAACTGTAGTGAAGCTCAGTGGAGTGTAGTAAAACTGCAGTACAGCCCAGTAAGACTGCAGTACAGCCCAGTGAAGTGTAGTAAAACTGCAGTACAGCCCAGTGAAGTGTAGTAAAACTGCAGTGCAGCCCAGTAAGACTGCAGTGAAGCCCAGTGAAGTGTAGTAAAACTGCAGT